TGATTGCGCGCCATCTTGACTGAACCGCGGTGATAAGAGTGTGTTCTCGAGCTTTGATTCGGCGCGCCTACAGATCGGGCCATGCCTTCTCCAAAGGTAGTGTATTATTAAATCTAGTGATTGATCAACGCAAAAAACTCTGGAATGTGCGATCTCTTGGATATTGGCCTCGACAACGTAACGCGGTGGAACGAAGCCAGTGCGCTCCACCAGCACCAAATAATCATTGAACAAGAGTCGGATTTGTTCCTTTGACTTGTACCAGAAGACCTTGAACTCTCCACCGAGGGATAGGGCCTTGGACAGACTGATAGGATGTGCCTTCTGGACGTAATTCAGGTATGCACAGGTTCGTGCTTTGCGCCTTCCTAGCCGCCCCCGAAGCACCGCTTCTATTATGGCTGCGCAAAGACGTTGCAAATAGGCCCAAACTTTCTCTCGCGTTCGGCATGCGCGCGCACATTGACGCCGAAGATAGAATCGATACGACCGCCTACACAGCTCAAGATTAAGCAATGTAACATCGCACGCCTACCCAAGGAGAAATGCGGCAGCATGGCGGATCTTAATTTGCTTGATGAGCTCGGCTTTGCTGCCAGCAATCTTTCCCAGGAAATCATGCGCCCCCAGACAGAAATTAGCTGTTGACGCGCAACTGGGACACACGCCCAAAGTTTCATCGCCAGCGCTAACTTCGCAAATGCCGCCAGGCATCCTAGCGCTGAAGCTGCGAACTTTAGCTGCGTCAATGAACATCAAAGTGTTGCACTTGTCGCACGTTATATAAGGCGTCAAGTAGAACATCGGCCGCTCCAAATCTGACTCTTTTCGACCATCGCGAAAGGTTTTGCTGAAGGTTTCGACTAGAGACCTGTCAGATGTGTCAACAAGCTTTGGGGTAACCAGATTCATGCTTGAGCCACGAGTGAATGAGGTAGGCAAGGCCATTGCCTTCTCCGTCGCAGTGAATTGGATGGCCTGCCAGATAACATGGCCGGTCACAGTTGCATCCGGGCGGTGATCCAGGAAGCGATTCACATTCTTCTCGATATCGGCTCGGTGTATCATACTTGCACGGAACG